TCTTTCTAGCCAACTTGGCTGACCTCTCACCCTCTTCTTTGCCTTTCCAGATTATGACCTTCCTTTAACACCTGTCCCGAATTACACCTCTTATGGCCACAGTATGACTTTGCTGGGCCTTAGGCACTGTTACCTTCATGAGCTCCTTCCTTCAGTCAAAAAAATCCAAAACTTTTATTTTACACCTGCATTGGTAGAAAAAACTATAATCCACACAGGAGTATAGTCATTTTTTTCTTTAGATTTTAAAAGCATTTCAGAGTCTCACAGGGGCCCTTTAACGTATCGAGCATTTCAGAGTTTTGCAGGGCCCTTTAACATATCGGGGCCCCTGGACAGTCTGCCTCCTGATGCTATTGGATAACAGGCCACCCCTTATTCCTCCTCCACGAAAGCACCCTGTATAAATGCCTCTCCTCTTTTATTTCTGACAGAGAGACGGAGTGAGAGTGGGGGAGGAGCAGAGAGAAAGGGGGACCCAGAATCTGAAGCAGGCTCCAGGTTCTGAAATGTCAGCACAGAGCCCAGCACGGGGCTCGAACCCACAAACTGTGAGATCATGACCTGAGCCAAAGTCAGATGCCTAACCAACGGAGCCACCCAGGCACCCCGATGCCTCCCCCCTCTTAGTTTACTAGCATTGGCACACAGCCTGGACACAGAAGGATTTAAATTCAAATGCCAGCTTCTTCACTTTCTAACTGGAAACCACAGCAAGTGATTCAACTTTCTGAACATCAGTTTTCTTCCTTGTGTGATTCCTGCCATGGTAATATGATGCAGCCCATAGACAGGGCTCGGTGCTCCGTGACAAGTGCTCGTGATACATATTTATACATGTGTTGGTCATTAACTATCTTGATTTACATGTTACACTATTAGCTGCCTCTTCACCTGTGTTTGATTCCCTTAGTAAAGTGTCACCTCCCATCGGGAGTAAATTTTAGCCCAGGGGTTCTCCAACTTAAGCGTGCGGCAGAATCACCTGTGTTAAGGCACTGATGGCTGGACCCCACCTCAACTTCTTGGTTCAGGAACAGCCTGGAGTGGGGTCAGTAATTCGTATTCCTAACGAGTGCCAGGTGATTCTGAGGCTGCTGGGTTTATTTATTTATTTTATTTAAAAAAAATTTTTTTTAACGTTTATTTATTTTTGAGACAGAGAGAGACAGAGCATGAACAGGGGAGGGGCAGAGAGAGAGGGAGACACAGAATCTGAAACAGTCTCCAGGCTCTGAGCTGTCAGCACAGAGCCTGACTCGGGGCTCGAACTCACAGACCATGAGATCATGACCTGAGCCGAAGTCGGACGCTTAACCGACCAAGCTACCCAGGCGCCCCTGCTGAGTTTATTTTTTGACTTCAGTAGTCGCTACCCCCAACGTGGGACTTGAACTCATGACCCCAAGATCAAGAGTCGAATGCTCTACTGACTGAGTCAGGCAGGCACCCGGAGGCTGCCGATTTTAGGACCCTACTTAGAGAATCACTGTTTTAGACAACTCTGCACCCTCTCAAAACCTAGCACACAGGGGAAGCTTTTAAATACATTGAGAGTTAATTATTTACGCAAAAGGTAATACAAATGCCGGCAGGAGATTCTGCGCCCCTCCCCCGGTTGTGAGAAAACGTTCATTACTGCAGGGGCTGAGCAGAAAACTATGAGCCAGGAAACTGTATTGAAAGAAAGGGGGGGGGGTATGGTAACACCGAACAGGGTCATCTGTGGGGTTGCGGGGACACGTGCAAAACGCAGACGAGATGCCAACCACAGCTCAGCCAAGCCCAGGCTGCCTGAGTTCTTAGCTCAATCTAGAACAATGCCAGCAGGGCTGCTGGGATGCATCTGCTACTCTCTTTCAGATATCTTTCAGATAACGGATCTGGGGTCTCTCGGGAAGGAAATAGCTTGACAGGGAGAAAGAAAGATGAGGCCAACTGAAGAGGTCTGGGTTTCCGAAGCTGCACTTGAAGACCAGCTTTTAACTCTTTGTGGCACTTTCCCAACCCTTACTCTCTACCCCTGCTGTTCCTTCTTGCTTTTTGTATTCCTTTCATGGGGAAATGTCGTTTGTGAACACCACAGCTCTCCCGGACACAGTCTGTTTACACACAAAGTAAGTTCACACAAATGGAAACTTGAAGAAAGCCTTGAGATCCTCCAGCCCAACCCACCAATTTTATGCATGACGAAATCTGAGCGTAGGGTTAATCCTAAAATACATAACCAGTCATGGCAGAGCCAGGCTGGAATCTGGATTCTTCGACTCACAATGAGTACATGGTATGCATAGTTCTTTATACTCCCTAAATGAGTGGGAAAAAGATACCTTCTTTTCCACTGTATTTTAATTTTTTT